TTTGGGGACAAGGTCAGAGAGGCCAGATTGAGATGGTTTGGACATGTGCAGAGGAGGGATAGTGGTTATATTGGTAGAAGGATGTTGGAGATGGAGCTGCCAGGCAGGTCAAGAGGAAGGCCAAGGAGGAGATATATGGATGTGCTAATAAAGGACATGAAGTTAACTGGGGTGAGAATAGCAGATGCCGAGGATAAAGTTAGGTGGAAACAGATGATTCGCTCTGGCGAACCCTAATGGGAACAGCCGAATGAAAAAAAAGAAGATGAGATTTAGAAAAATTCTGAAGAGAAGCATGAATGTCCTTGAAGAGCTGAACATTTTGATACCTGAAATAGCTGAAAGTATGCTGAAGTAGTCTTTTCCCATTCATTTGAATTGGGCAAAACTTTCAAAATAAAGGTAAATATTTCGAAAGTATGAAGTTTAGAAAAATTGTGAATAGAAGCACGAATGTCCTTGAAGAGCTGAACATTTAGATATCTGAAATTATGGCGAAGTAGAATTTCCCCCATTCATTTGAATGGGGCAAAATCTGCTGAAAAAAAGCTAAATAGTTTAAAAGGTATAAATGTTGCAAACAATAAAAATACAAGTAGGAATGTCCTTAAAGAGTTGAACATTTTGATAACTTCATGGCTGTTGTAGCTGAAAGTATGCTGAAGAAATTAAGTGCCGAAAAACAGACAGAAGAAATCAGAATAATAATAATAATAATAATAAAGAACAGGATAATATTGTGTGGATGCTTCACAGCATCCACACAATAAATAAGAGGAAAACATAGTGTAAAACAACCATGGGTGATACAGCTGGTTGTGGTGTGCAGACTGACATTTGGCTAGGTTTTCATGGGACTATGGTGTTGCTGTAGAGTTTGTGTAAGGTCTATTTTCAGCTCAGACAGGTGTGTGTGAGAGTGAGTGAGTGAGTGAGTGAGAGATAGAGAGATAGATAGATAGAGAGAGAGGGAGAGTTCTGAAAAGCACCATTCAGCACCTAGGACATGAGACCAAAGAGATGTGGAGAGATGTTCCTCTGCTAGTTAACTCCATTATCAAATAATTTGCCACTTTTCTCAATTAATTAACTGTTTAGTCTATACAATGTCAGAAAACAGTGAGCATTTGAAAATGTGAAAGTTTTTAGATTTTTAGTACTGCTCAAGACAAAGTAATAAAAAGAACTAATGAATGTTTAGCACTCAAATAAAACATAGCCAATAAATAAATACATTTTCTGTTAATTCACTAATTCATTAATTTACTTGTCTAATAGTTTGACTTGTTTGACTAATTAATTGACTTCAGCTTTTTTTTTTTTTTTTTTTTAATTCCAATGCATCAGACTAATACTAATTGTAAACTCAGCTAATTCAGATGTTCATCATGCTGTCAGGAATCACAACAAATTATTCTACTCAGCTTAATCTGACACCATAGCTTCGACCTACACCACTTGAGGAAAGTAAGAAGTACTGTAGATGCCAATGAATTTACTATTATGTTCTTTAATACTCAATTTAGTGGTTTGTACAAAACATATTTTGTTTCCTATCAAATAAAACAAAGTGAACATATTTGAGAACGTGGAATGAGAAGCTGTGGTATTTTTGCTTGAAAAGTGACAATCAGAAGTTGCAGATACATTTTCAACTAACTATACTCATCATTCCAGCTCTAATATTACAATTTATAGTAACTGGAGAACTAGAGCAAATGAATGCAAATCAACTTTCACCCTGATTTTTCTGGAAAGCTGATATTATTATTCAGAATAATGATTTTATCCAGGAGAAAAACTGACAGCAATACGAGAGGAGAAAACATAGTGTGTTTCTTTGTGTGGTAATTTGTGTTTGCATGAGTGCTTTCACATGCCTGGATGGGAAGGAAAATACACACAAAGCTGGCAACTGCACCACTCTGTGTGTGTGTCCTATAGCTGAACCCTTATACAAACTTGGCATACAACAATAATGATACTAATAAAGGAATATATATAATGCATGTGTTGTCTTCTCAACTTTAAATATAGCTGTATCCTCAGTGCAGCAACCACCACTTTACAGCTGACTGTAATCTTCACAGAGACTTATTAATGTTGAAAGGCCACTAACACTCATAAATCTCACCCATATAACAAGGGCATGAACTGTTCCATTTGTCTCAAAATAGGCCTGAATCCCACCACACAAATAAACCATAAGCCAATGTATCACAGTCTAACTTTTAAGGCCGAGTACATCACCAACATGACAGATATTGCAGGTTTCAGTTAATGACAAAATTCTTACAATAAAGCCAAATAATCTCCTCACCAAGCTGGCAGCTAGTTTCCTACTTGGTAACAGAAAACACAACATATCAGGCCTGAAAAAAAAGAGCAATCTGTCTGGTGCCATAGCAAATGTAGACTACACATCTGCATTGGTCTTCACTGTGACACTGTGGTGAAAGAAAAAAGGTGGCTTCCACACAAAAATAACAGATACTGTGTCCATAATCGCTCTCTGTTTTGATTTACCCTCAGTCATTTTTTTTGAGTGTCTGGATTCTGTGCAGAAATGTCTCCACTATACAGTTCCCTGAAAAGTACACAAATACACCACCATTCTTACAAGCTGAGACTCAATAAGTTATTTTTTGACCATGTGAGGGTTGTCAGAGACTCAGTTACAATATTTACCCTTAAATACTCTGTTGAGGGCAGTGTTTATTGATTTGGTAGGATTTCAAGTTATTTGCATTTGTCAAACTACAGAGCATTTTTTTATTACTGGCTAGGTTCCTAGATCTCTGGACCAACAGAGACAGTTGAATTGATGGAGATAAATACAGTCTTCCAGTACTGGTGACTCAGACTGTTAAAACAAGAAATCCCTCTTATGACAAAGAAAGGAGCATCTGTGTCATATAATTTACATTTAGGTAGTCAGAAGAAACAGCTCACCTAAGACTCGTCAGAGTTTTAAAAAGCCCTAAGGGTTATTGGGCAGGTGTGATCTGCTCCTTACCTATTGCTAAAAAGGGTGCTATTCATTCATGACTTAGCAGCTCACGTCAGCGGGGTGCCTCTGCCCAGACAAGCTCAGTTGACACACAACACACACCTACTGTATTCCCTGAGAGAGCTACCAAGCTTAATATTTATTTAAAGAAAACCTCAACTTTCTATGTTAGGTTTCCTCGACTAATCTTAGTCATTATTCAAAAGGCTGCATTTTCATGTTACCTGCCATTAAATTTAAAAATAAAGAAACAAAGCAGGGAAAAATCTGCTGTTTTTGATTGATAATTATTGTTTGGCTCATACACACCGTAGACCTTTAATCAAAGTTTCAAACTTCTCAAATAAGTCATAATTTGTGTCATCTAATCCCTATGGAAGCATATGCTGATAGGCACATCTGCCAGGTGTAAGCAAAAGATAAAGAGATGGATGAAATTCAAAGATAAATGCAGAAACATACACAGAGACAGGTTGTGGGGAAAATAATAAGGGCTGATAGACGGGGTCATAACAACAGAGGAGAGGTCTGTGAGGACAGAGAGCCAGGCAGACACATGGTGTGTAAGCTGAGAGCTACAAGGGGGCAGCTCTGGAGTCCAGCAGAGGATCTGATATCGAACACCATGGAAGAAAAGGACACACAAAACCAAACACACACACGGCACTGCATCGAACGGCCCCACTCTGCTGCTGCAGCTGCTAAAATACTGGTGTATCCAAAAGAGTCTGCAAACTCAAATATGAGACCAATTTTGAAACTAAATATTCTGTTTCTACTATCAAAATGTTTGAATAAGTTATGTCATGTAGAAATGGACTGAGCCTGCATCTGATTACTAAAGTTTTTTTTTTTAATCTTTCAAATATTGATGTCGGCCTCAAAAATTTATATTGTGCACTAACAGAAACTGTAGACACAGAATTAATAACCACCTTAGATGTGCAAGCACTTTTTGATCTTGATAGACTTGATGAGTTTTCTTTCATTTCAGGGGTTTCTCTTCTAGTTTTAAAGTTCATCATTCAGCACCTATATTAACTGCACTAAAGATGCACTCTGTAAGCATCACATTTGTCCATTCAATGTTTAAACAGCAGCGGTAAAAGTAGCAACAGAGGACACATTTTGCACTGTAAATTCTTTTTGATAAATCTTCAAGCAGATTTGTTTTCACTCCCCCCCCCCCATATAGTGGTTATTTGCAGTAACAAGATGCTGCAGAAGGCTCCACACAAACCTATTAAGTCAAGTTGGAGTTCTAATTTTATTTATTTTGTCATTTGGTCAAATGCCTTTGATTTTTAATGTTATTTACATGATGATGATTCTTTACTGTCTGTACTCATTAGGCAAATTCTGCTTGATGGAGAATCTACAGGACGTGTCTTTAGGTATTTCTCATGTTGATGCACTTACGTACAGCTATATCTGTGCAAACACACATTGTAAACTAGGCACTGGAAGCTCACAGAATTTGAACAGGCTGCTTATTACATTCACACTTCATTTCCTAAAGCCTACAGATACAATGCTGAGTCCAGCTATTTAAGAGTAAATGCATGAGTATAACTACCTTGAGATCTCATGCTATTTACATTTCTTAGGGAGGATGAATTTTTTGAGTATCTGCAGAAAAAAAAGCACAACTGGACATTTTGCGAGTCTCTTTTTTCCCCTTTCTTATGACACACAAAAATACAAGCCAGCATGCAAATGCAAGAAATCTGAAGCATCTTACCTTTTTCTGGTACCACACCACAGCATCTTTTACTTTGGAAGCCATTAACATTTCCCTTCTCCGCACCTAGGGCATCTTAGGCTAGAAACACACAAACACACAGAGCAATGTGAGTGACAGAGTAATAAGGAGAAAGGAAAGACAGGTGTGTCTTGACAACTGAGAATGGGAGGGGTAGACACACAACTGTGCACGTACACTGTCACGGTAACAGTGTTTATGCAGATTTGAGTGAAGGCATTCCCCAGAGTCTAACCCTAACCTTACCTGAACCATCACAAATACATGTGTGCACAATTATTATGCAAGTTGTATTTCTGAGGATTAATTTTATTATTGAACAACTACAGTGCTCTCGGTCAATCCAAAATGTTAATAAATTTCAAACCTGAATATTTAAGAAAGTAAAAGTGAGGTTTTGGCTTTCTTAGTATAATGTTTGTGTGCACAATTATTGGGCAACTGTTAGTGTGCCGAATTATTATGCAACTAAATGCGAACATTTTCCTGTCTTTACAAATAAACATTTCTGACATTTAAAAAAATTAAATAAATCCGTGACCAATATAGCCACCCTTCTTTTCAATAACAGTCACAAGCCTTCCATTCATGGAGTCTGTTAGTTCCTTGATCTTTTGACAATAAACTTTTTGTGCAGCAGCAAGCACAGCCTCCCAGACACTGTTCAGAGAGTTGCACTGTTTTCCTTCACTGTAAATCTCCAGTTTAAGAAGTTCTCAATAGGGTTTAGGTCAGGTGAGGAAGGGGGCCATGTCATTATTCTTTCATCTATAAGGCCTTTACTGGCATGTGATGGAGCATTGTCCTGCATAGAAATCATGGTCTTCTTGTAGAATGCAGACCTTTCCTGTATCACTGCTTGAAGAAATTGTCTTCTAAAGGTTTGGGAGTTGATTTTGAGTCCATTTTCAACCTGAAAAGGCCCAACTAGCTCATCTTTACTAATACCAGCCCATACCAGTACCTCGCCTCCACCTTGCTGGCGTCTGATTCGAAGTGGAGCTCTGTGCCCGTTACTGATCCAGCCACAGGCCCATCCATCTGGCCCATCAAGGGTCACTCTCATCTCATCAGGCGCCCACTAGTTTGTGGTGGTGGTGCAGCAGCACAGAAAGTTGAGAGTAGAGATAATTGCTCTCGCCTACCGCGCATTCCATTTTTATGTTTAGTGGATTGCACATGCGACCGAAGTGCACTAGCTCCCATCCAGTTGACATTGATGTTTTTTTTTACAAACCGAACAATAAGCCTGCCGGTTATTCCCTACTGCAGGCCTGAGCCTGTCCTTAAATGCTGGGTCTTCCACCCAGCTGTCAGAAAACTTGCATTTGCCCATGACGACGACGATGGTCGTCTGGACGTTGAAGATATGCCCAAACTAGTCAACAACGTAAGCTATCCAGTTGGCTATCCAGTTGAGCTGAGCACGCAAAGTATTTGAGATGTCGAACGACCACCGACTATGACGTCAGCATCAAACATACAAAGTTGAGACTAGACGAGGATCTTTGATTATGTGCCCCGATAACATTTAAACCACATTTAAACGAACTAACGCAAACTTTAGCAGATAGAATTTCAATCAGAATAGGACGCCATAGTCTGAAAAAATACCTATAAAAAAAAACAAAAAAAAAAACAACCTCTAAACCAAATTAAACACTTTTTAATGGCCTTAAATTTGGCAATTTTGATTAATCACTTTTTAATACTTTTTAAAACCCCGCGGACACCCTGATGATGATATGGTCAAAATACTCACTTGCCTAATAATTGTGCACACAGTGTAAATGCCAAACCTTAATGTAATTTTAATCCAGGACAGTCACTTTAACGTGCCGTCTCCCTTGGCACCCGATTTACAATATAAATAAACAAACTGCCCTGGAAACAATTAATTTAAATGTCATGTTCTCACAGACGACACATGTATTTGTACAGTTAACTTTGTGAGTCAGCTCATTGACTAAAGCATTTACTAGCTCTAACCTCAACCATCACACACTAAATGCTTAACCCCAACCTTTCACCTAACCTTTACCCTTCACCTAACTATACTCTTAACCCTAAAACCAAGTCTTAACGCTCAAACGGATTGTTAAAAGTGTGTTAGAAAGTGAAGACCTGCCAAAACGTCCTCACTAAACTCAAACTGGTCCTCACGCATGCAAATACGCACATACATTTTTCTGTAAACACTTTGGGTGCAGTTGCCAGTGGTTTGGGTGTGAGAGTGGTTGGTTCGGAAAGACAGGTTTATAAACACACACACACACAAAAAAAGGATTTCATATTGACAAATGATAATGACAAGACATGGGAGTGCAGGGAAACTGTGAAACACCTGAATTCCACCCACCCACAGACATGCACACTGAGGTTCACAACAAAACAACAAAGCGCACTAACCGCGTGTTAACATGAATGTTTGCATGTGTTAATGGTGTATGTGTGATGCACCACAGTGCAGCAGCTGCTTAGCTTAACTTAAAGATGGAAACTGCTGGCTTGGCCCTGTCCAAAGGTAGCAAAACCCACCTACCAGCACCTCTAAAGCTCACTAATTAACTTATGTTTGTTCAATCTGTACAAAATATCAGCACAAATGTCAATCAGGCTAAGCAGAGGAAGAAACGTGTTTTCTTAGTTGTAGTTACTTATTGGGTGCAAGGAAGCATCAGAATTAAATCTCCACTGCCACTTGGCTACAAACCTGATCTTAGCCAACCTTATTAGATTATTACTTCAGGCTTCCCCTCCTTGAACCACCACCTTATTGTGGTGGAGGGGTTTGAGTACTCGAGTGATCCTAGGAGCTATGTTGTCGGGGGCTATATGTCCCTGGTAGGGTCTCCCAAGGCAAACAGGTCCTGGGTGATGGGTCAGACCAAGAGCAGTTCAAGAGCCCTTTATGAATAACATTAAACCAAGTACTGTGACGTCGTCTGGCATGGCGCAGCTGGGGTCCCACCCTGGAGCCAGGCCCGGGGTTGGGGCTCGAATGTGAGCGCCTGGTGGCTGGGCCTCCCCTCACGGGGCCCGGCCGGGCTTAGCCCGAACGAGTGATGTGGGGATGTCCTCCCGTGGGCCCACCACCTGCAGGAGGATCCGTAAGGGGCCGGTGCACAGTGGATTGGGCACCAGTGCAAGGAA